GGACCCACCTCTGCTCCTCGCCCTCCAGCAGGCGCCTGTAGGTGGCGATCTCAATGTCCAGGCCCAGCTTGGAGTTCATCACCTCCTGGTACTCCCTGATCAGGCAGGCCATGTCCTGCTTGGCCTTCTGCAGGGCGCCCTCCAACTCGGCCAGCTTGCAGCGGGCGTCACTGAGGGCCGCCTCACCCTGCTGCTCAGACTGGGCCACCGCGGCCTCCAGCTTGGAGTTCTGAAGACAACAGAGAGAACAAGGTAGATCAGAATCTCTGGGTCTCTCTGATGCTTACCTGGATGAGACCATGCTCCCCACCAACCTGGGAGCACCCCAGAGCAGAGCCTCTCACCTTCATCACCTGGGACTCACTGAGAGACCACAACCAGGGACTCTACATGGACAAAGGGGCTGGAGAATGAATGCTGAGATCCAGATGGGGCACACATAGGCTGTGTGACAATGGTTAGGCCCTCGGTCTCTCGGACCTTGGGCACAGATGACCCATACCTGGCACTTGGCGTTCTCCACCTCGGCCGTCAGCCTCTGGATCATGCGGTTCAGCTCGTTGATCTCCTCCTTGGTGCGGCGCAGGGTCTCCCCATGCCTAATTACCGTGGCCTTCATCTCCTCACACTGGGGGAAGTAGAGATGCTCATGAGGCTCAGGGTGGGGCTTCCCATCCATTCAGGGCACCACGGATGATTATGCAGGTTGTACAGTGCTCAGCCTGTGCAACCACACATGGCAGTCCTGCCCTGCCACCCTAACCTCAGAGTGGCAGCCATCTCTTCTCATCCCCAGGGACCAGCATCCCCAGAAAAGGAAGCCTATTTAGTAGATACCTCACATCCCTCCCACTGCCATGTCTAGCAGGCAGGTGTCCTGTGCCACTCACCTTGCTGCGGTACCAGGACTCGGCCTCGGCCCGGCTGCGGGTGACAATGTCGTCGTACTGTGCCTTGATCTCGGCGACGATGCAGTCCATGTTCAGGTCCCGGCTGTTGTCCAACTTGACAACCACAGAGGTGTCTGAGATGTGGGACTGGAGAACTCGGATCTCCTGCAGGAGGTGGGGGCAGTGACTTTAGTTGAGAACACAGCCCCACCCACCATGTCCTGACTCCACCTTCTCAGGCTTTCTCTGGTCCCCAGCCCTGCCCCCTCACACAGCCTCAGGGACTGCAACCTCTACCCACATCCTGTCCAATACTCCCACCCCCAACTCTCCTCTCTGCTGGCTGCCAGGTCTCTGCCTGGCCCCTGGGCCCGCACCTCCTCATACAGCCGCCTCAGGAAGTCGATCTCCTGGATCAGGGCCTCTACGTTGGCTTCTAGGTCTGACTTGCGGAGGTAGGCGCAGTCCACATCCTGGAAAGGTGGGGAGTGTTGGAGCTCAGAGGACGCTGGTAATCTAGCCCCCAGACTTGTCTCTCTGCCCCTCCATTCCATGCAGCCAAGGGAAAGCAGTCCCCGGTGTCCCGTTCCCATGCCTCTCCTTCCCTTCTGCCCTTCCTGGGATGAGCTGGCATCCTCTGCCCCTCTGAGGACAAATCCTGTTTGCTTTGGGCATGACTCACCAGCCTTTCACCCCTCCTTGCCCTCCTGTCTCTCCCTTCTCCCCTCTCCTGCTCCAGGAAGCCTGCCCAGACTGACCCCCCTGCTCTCACACCTTGACCCTTTCCTGTCCTTCAGTAGTGCTCCAAGAGCCCAGTTCCTGCTGCTGATTCTGCTCCATCCTCCCTTAGACCCTGGGATTGTGTCTGTGCCTCAAGGTCAGACTCCCCAAAATGCTAGACAGACTGCACTGTCTCTCAGCAGAGACACTGTATCTGCTATGGCTCCAGGGGACTCAGCAACAGACCACAACCTCTGGAGCAGAGCAGGACACACAGAGGACAGTGCAGCCATCCCCTCGCCCAAGGCAGGTGCTGGTAGATGTTCCCAGGTCATTGCCCTTTTTCAAGACCCTGGATGCTCCATCCGATGACCTGCACCTGGGCAGTCCTATCCTGCTGTGGAAAGGTCACTGTGCTCCACACTGAGGTTGAGACCCCCTGTGTGTCCCCAGGAAGAGCCTGTCATTCTGAGATCCCACAGATCTGTGCTTCTCAATCCTGTGTCACTTGCCTTCTTCAGAGCCACAAACTCGTTCTCAGCTGTTGCTCTCAGAGAAACCTCCTCCTCATACCTGAGGCAGAGCAGAGGGCAGAGAGGGGAGGTCAGAGCAAGGCAGGTCTCTGCAGAGCCCCCATCACATCACACTTCATCACAGCCATGGGGACAGTACTAGAAACACCCCCACACAGCCCGGGCCTGGCAGACTAGCTGAGTGCTTTCCGGTTGGATGTGGGATGTGTCTGGGATTCTCTCTCCACTTTGAACTGGAGAGGAAGAGGGCTCACCTGGTACCTCCCAGTCCTGTTCCCAAAGGGTCTCTGAGGTCCCCCAGGAGGCAAATAGGACTCAGCCCCCAACCCCATCCTGGGAGTAAACAGCATATCCTCCCGGGGCCTGTAGCCCCAACTTCCCTTCACTGGTGTGAATCCCAGCTCAGGTGCTGGACCTGCAGACCCTCGGAGCTTAGAACCCAAGGCAGTGGGAACAGCCAGAGCTCCAGACTTGTCACTCATGAGAGACCCTGGGCTCACATCTGACAGGTGCTACAGATATCGGGGCTGAGGGTCAGGAGAGAAGCAGAACCCTGCAGAGGCTTCCTCCCCACCGAGCGCAGGGGAGAGCTGCTGGGTGATGTGGCTCAGGGAAGAGAAGGCTGAAGTGGCATAGAGACAGGTAGTGGGAGTTATAGCCCTCCTCTTACACAGGTGTCTGGGCAAAGATTCCACAAATGAAAAGACCCCGCCACCCTCGGTCAACCTAGTGGTCATGGCCACTCACCCTACCTGGGAGTTCTTATTGTCTAATCCAGTGTATTTAACCTTAATCCCATCCCTGTGCCCAGCATCCCTCCTGCTGTCACTCACTTCTTCTTGTATCCCTCCAGCACCTCCTGCACGTGGTTGAGCTCTGAGGCCAGCCTCCCACTGTCGGCCTCCACGCACTCGGCCTCCCGCCGCAGAGTCTCGATGTAGCCCTCGAACAGGGGCTCCAGGTTGCTCTGGCAACACTCGCGGTTCTGGAAGAACTGCAGCTTTGTCTCCAGCAGCTTGTTCTGCTGCTCCAGGAAGCGCACCTGCCATTCAGAGTGGGAAGGAGGGGCAGATGGTTTCTGGTGCCCCCAAAGACAGCTCTGGGGACCTGGTGGAGGAGGGATACTTTAAAGGAAATCCCCAAATCTGGAGCTTATCTGAGACTGAGTAGAGGTGGGCAGTGGGAGACAGACAATTTCTGGATTTCCTGGTCATGATCTGTGCCTAGATTTCCCACTCAGGAATGGAGCAAGGGCTGGGTGGTGTCAGTGCCTGCTCTCTGGGGAGCTGAGTGACCCCAAGCAGATGAACACAGTGGAGGCTCAGCTCCTCACTCTGAAGCCAGGTGAGGCAGCATCCCTCACAGGCAGAGTACCCAGGTTCGGATCACAGATGGGATTTCTGGGGATGGTGCCAAGAAGAGGGTGTCTAAATTGAATCACCATCTGGAAGGGAGCTCAGTTGTCCCAGCTCTTCCCCTATGTCATCTGGAAGTCAGTGCACCCTACTTTCTCACCCTGGGGCCCCCCAAATCCCTCTGAGGTCAGCAGCAGCAGTCACATGTCCCCCATCCCCAAATCCCTGATGTCTAGCTTGTGCCCCAGAGCAGCCTGGCCACACTTTTCCTCCACAAGCTCCCCCTATCTGAACTGTCAGCTGAGTCTACATCTTGAGTGCCTGTGTGTGTCTCTCTGTGTGTGTGTGTCTGTCTGTGTGTCTGTGTGCCTCTCCCATCAGACTGGGATCTCAGGCAGGCAGAGGTCTTTCTGTCTCTGACTCCATCCTCAGTGCCCATCCCTGACTGTGTAGGTGGTGGGAGTTCAAGAAAGGTGTGATCCGGGACACTCACCTTATCGATGAAGGCCGCGAACCTACTGTTGAGGCACTTAATCTGCTCCTTCTCCTCCTGCTTCACACACTGCGCGTTGGGGTCGATCTCCAGGTTGAGGGGCGTGAGGAGGCTCTCGTTGACCGACACGGTGGTGATGCATGGGGGGCTGGGCCCGCACACGCCCCCAGAGCGGTAGCCGAAACTGCGTCCACAGGAGCCGGCTCTATAGCCTCCGCACACGCTGTGGCTGCCAAAGCCCCCAGTGAGGCCGCGGTAGCAGGAGATGCCACGGTAGGGGGCGGCGGTGATGCAGCAGCGGCCGGGCCGGGGCCCGCAGGCGGAGACGCAGCTGAAGTTTCCAGGGCGGAACCCACAGCCCATGGAGATGAAGCCACAGGTCATGATGGAGGTTAGGAAGTGTCTGAACAGTGGAGAAGATGGCAGAGGATGGAGCCAAGGTCCCGTGCTCCCTGGCAGATGGCAAGCCCTTTTATGTGCCGGGAGCAGCTGGCGTTAAAAGAGGGAGCAAAGAGACAATAGCTGAATTTTATTGGCTTGGCATCACCCTGGCCTCTTAAGCTAGAACCCTGCTTGCCTCTTCAGTGTGGCTGCATCAACAATCCCTGGCCACCGGCCTTGTTTCATCTTCAAAGCCCTTTACAAGCTTGCTCCTTGCTCCTGCCCCTCCCATTGGAACTGTGGAGCCGGAGAGGGGCTCCTGAAAGCATCAGCCGCATTCCACCTCCAAGCTAGGGGAACGGGTGCAGTGACCGGGGTGAAGCCTGCTCCCTGAACCCTGTTCTGAAAGGGGCAGAGCTGGGC